GGCTAATGTTGAAGGAGGCCCTTCCTGTGCGCAACATCAGCATTTCAAGGATTTCTCCCTGCCAGAGACTGTCTTGCCCAGTGTGCTCACAGCCAGCGATGGTAACGGCAGTCAGGATGTCGAGATTACTGGTGCAGAGGGCATGCCAACGTCCCCCACAAGGGTAGCAAACATGAGCAGGGAAGGCCCTGTGGCGTCTCAAGAAATAGACATGGCGAATCACCTTACGGACAGTGCAAGCTTGAGTGCATGTATGGAGTTCTATTACAAGGCAAGTTACTGGGTATCCTCACAAAGAGCCAAGCCCATCAGACCAGGAGCATACACCGCATGGTGGTGGCTGATGTTGTTTGCAACTTTGTTCCGCTTGTCCTTGTTGCTGTTGCACACTGCAGCCATGTTGCTTAGAATGCATCTGGCTCTACATGTGTTGATGCACGCAGCAGCAGGGACTGCTGCTGCAGAAAGCAGTGTGTGCTACTTGCAGCAATTTGTGCAAACAATGTGTGATCTTTTGTCAACTGATGCAAAATGGCACTGTGCCATGTCCTATGTTGACAAAAAGCTGGGTGGGCGCTGGCTGCAGATAACGGATGAAGCTCAAACAGAGGACATGTTCCGGTGCTGCAAGCATGCCTGGAGAGAGTCTGATCTGATGACAATGAAGCTGATTTTCCACCTCAGGGACATAAGGAGGGGAAAGGGGGCAAAACTTCCCTTCTTGGATTGCTTGGTTTGGCTTGTCAAACATCATCATAGGACCCTTGTGGCCAACCTTAGGCATGTAGCCACTGTTGGATGTTGGAAAGACCTGCTAGACCTGGTTGTGAGATTGCTTGTGGGCGAACAGAGTTACCCTGTCTTAACAAATAGAAACGAAAAGAAGGTGAAGAAAATGGCAAGACGAACAGATACGGAGGCTGTACAGCGTCAGGCCAGACTGCATGGAAAGCGAGCATTTAGAAACTGTGATGTTGGTCTTGGCACACAGCAGGGTAGGGCCGCAAAGGGGTGTGTGGCAAGGGACATGCAGCAGGAAACAGACGTGGCAAAATTGCGATTGGACGGTGGCCAGGCTGGTAGACGTGGTAAGAGGGCTAGGCTCATTGCCGGTGCTCGTAATGGCTTCTTGCACGATGAGCCCTATAGGGCCATACACGTAGAAGTTGCCAGGCTGTTTGCTGTGGCAATGCAAGCGGACCTTGCTGCTTCCAAGATGCAGCAGCGCATTTCCTTTGCAGCGAAATGGGCCCCCAGCTTGGAAGGTCATCATGACCAGCATTCACTCATCGCCTCAACCATAGCACAGATCCTCTTCCCAAGGGGTGCACATGCCAGGGAGGGTCAATCGTACGAGTCGTACATTTGCAGGGCGAGAGATCTGTACAGGAAGGAGTACCTTGTTCCTCTGCGGCGATACTTGGAAGTACCAGAAACGATGATGTCGGCAAGGGAATGGCACAGCATTGACTACGACCATGTACCAAGCATGTGTATAAAGATGAACAGCAAGAGCTTCCAGTCCCACGACAGGGAGAGGTTTGAGAAATATCTTTCAAGCAAGGTACATGCTGTCTCCTCTGCACCCAAACCACATGATCTTGTTGTCGAGACCATGAAATATCTGAATTGGGAGGACGCTGATGCAAGGCTGGCAACAACAGAAACCCAGTGGATATCCTGGTTGAATAGGATGAAGAGGTCTGGCAGCCTGAGGCATGCACTTGCCGTTTGTGACACTTCAGGGAGCATGACGTGGGGCGAATCGTGCCCAGTTCCCCCGATTGCTGTTGCTTTGGCGCTGTCCTTGGCAATAGCTGAGCAGGCAGCACCGCCTTTCGAGAACATCATGTGCACATTTGACACGGCTCCACATTTTCTGCTCGTACAGCATGTGTCGCTGAGGTGCAGGGTTGACCATGTGCTGAAGATGGCACCAGCGCCATGCACTTCAAAAGCAATGGACTTGGAAGCTGTCCTCACTACGCTGTTAGATCGAAGCAAGAGCTGCAACTCTCGTCCTGAGGATATGATAAAGACGCTGTTTGTGTTCAGCGATGTTGATTTCGACGCTGCGGTTGGGGATGCTTATGCAGCCAAACACGTGCAGGTGAAACAACAATTCCAGCTAGCGGGATATGATGTCCCCACAATTGTTTATTGGAATATCAGTGCTCGCAGGGACAAAGCATTTGCTCCAGTTTTTAGGGACGACTGCGGGGCCATCTTACTGTCTGGATTCTGCGGCCCACTGCTGAGACTATTCTTGGGACCAGAGCACATCGAATTTACCCCCTCTGGGCTCATGATGCATGCCCTCCAGGACTACAACTACCTGGTCATTTTGGACTGAAGAAATGTACTGAAAATGTGCCGTCTATCGAGAGAGGTTCCACGTTGCAAAGCAGAAGAGGCGCGAGATGAGCGATTTGCTGCGGGAACACTGTCCTGTCTGTTGTTTGTTGGCCTCTGCTGCCTGCACAATATGCTGCCATACCGCCATTGTAATGTCATGCAATTTCGCAGGGAGTGTGGGAACGGCCAAGCCCAATTTTCATGTGCACGTTAGAGACACACCTTGTATGGCAACTAAGCTGCACAAGCCCAATGCTGTCTGGTTGCAATGCGTTTGTGGCAAGCTGCCAACCACCGAGATGGCTGATGAATCCGATATGGGATTTGATATCTGAACCTCCAGTGCCATGGAGGTGCTTCAGATTTACATTTGGCATCACTGCCAGCGTTGCATATGTTGGACCGATTCCCACTGAATGTAAACTAGTTTCCGCTGTTTAATAAACAACAGAATGTTGCCACGGATTAAACTGGTGGGACAACTGGGCGCAGCACCGAGTGGGGAGTCTTGTTTGACCTTCACTCTTGTTGTCCCTGTGTTAAAGTTGCGCATCTTGCAGAGCCCTAAGTGCTGGCTTCTTCAAGGGAGCAAAGCTGCAGCAGTGAGCTTCTTCGAGGAAACAACGCTTGCTGAAAGAGAACGATTTGGCGTCTGCTCCTCAACCATTCTTCTTGCATTGGAAAATTGCGAACGCGGTATGGGAAACATGGATGGCAAGGCAACTTCTGCTGACATTCTCCTCGCGTTTGGCTGGGACGCGCCTGGGATACCTCAGGGCACTCCGTAGGTTGTCAGAAGGGCTGCCGCGCAATGGCCTCCGGGACAGCCACCGCAATGGTCCGTCTTCACTTAGGGCGGCACATGGAAACATCGAGCCACGCGTCAAATGTAGCAGCACGAACGTGGCACTGCACCAAGGAGCATACAGACAGGCTCGCCCAGCAATACTAACCAAAAGTAAACATGTAGATCCAACTGAGTTTCATGTGGTTTGTCGCATAGGACTCGATATAGTGCAAGCAGGTGCATTGGCAAGGCATATACGACTCAGGTGATCCACAGGAACCTCACAAACACTCTCATCTTACTGCATTTGATGAGTGTGTCGCTCACTGCTCCTGTTGACGGCCAATTATTTTGGACATAGGAAAATGGTTTTGCTGTTTCTCAAAGCGCAATATCTAACAGTGAAGAGCGAGCAACGACCACTGCCCTTTGGCACGGCCTTTTCATTTCTTTTGTTGTTAAGGAAGGGAGGACACAGCCTGCCATAGGGAAGAGTAAATGCTGAAGGTCAAGCAATGGTGGCACTCTAGTTTTGCAACAGAACACTGGCGGCAGCTTCATCATCATCATCATCATCATCATCATCATCATCATCATCATCATCATCATCATCATCATCATCATCATCATCATCATCATTTTTTACAGAACAAGGCAATGAGGTAGCCCTCAGGCGGCAGCTTCACCAACACTCGGGGGTCGTATTCAGGCAAAGTGCTCCACCAGACAGAACACACGCAGGCAAATGCCATTTGGGACCTATGCTGTTTGATCTCAGGTGCCTTGCTCAACTGGGTTGAGCAGGGCCCAATGCTATCTCGAGCACGTCTAGACAGGCTTGGTTTTTACGTTTACGTCTACGTTTTTACTTTTACGTTTTTACGCGTAAAAACGTAAATTTACAAAATGGCCAATTTTTACGGCTATTTTTACGTTCTTACGGCTCCCTGGCACACGCAGTTTACACGATGAAAGTTGCATACAATGGTCAGTCCTCTGCCATCTCCATCACCCGGAGCACAATGTCCACCTCGCCTGTGGCAAGGGCGATAATGGCGTTTAGCAAAAACTCGTTTTCTGCCTCTTCCAAGGCGTCTGGTTGCCACTTTCCGGACTCTGCAAAACTATATGTACTGTTCTTATCTACACCAGGCAGTTTTTACGTTGTATTTACGTATTTTTACGCATTTTTACGCGTAAAAACGTTAATACGATCAGTTTTTACGGCGTAAAAACCAAGCCTGCGTCTAGATACAGGGTCACCGGCGGGATGTGCGAGTGGGACATGGGATTTCATTTAGTAATTGTAAAGTATAGATGGAGGGCTGCCACCTTTGCGCAGGGTCGCGAACCCATGAAGAAGAGAACGGTATCTGTCATTGTCAGTAAAAGGCCTGGAGGTGTAATGATTGCCTGCTCTTGCCACGACGTGTGAGAGCATGGGAGATTTGGCGTGACCTCCCCACTCCCGTTTGCGCGTTGCGAGGGACCCATCGACAGATGAAGCACTAACGGATGCCGCGCGGTTTTCGCTGTTCACGCAGCCGACGAGCCCAGCACATTGCCCGAAACACTGTTGTTGCGCAGAAGGGCATGGTTGTACGACACTGGCTAAAGTACATGGCACATGCACATGGTTCGTAACAGGTGGTTGCGCCCTCAGGGGCCGTGTTGGGGAACCTCAGCGGGTTTCTGGTGCGTTGACCCCCTGCGCATGGGCTGCCACGCCCGGCACTGGCGAGAACGCGCGCTTGCGCTGAAGGGTCGCTTGTGACGTCGAGTGGCGAATTGCCCAGCACCAGCTTTGGCGACCCAGCGCTGCGGGTAGGATACTCCCACCCGCACGCAGCCTGCAGCGATGGACAATGGGGAACAAGGCTGGGGCACTTCGGTGAGCCTCCTCGTCACAGAACCTGCAGCGCTACCTTTTGACTTGATCAGTTCCTGTGTTAGCTACTGGAGTGGAGGCTGAAATCCTTTGTTTAAGATTGCATTCGACAAAAACAGGCAGCGCCCTTGCGCTTGGTAGGCGTTGGTTGTTGGGAGCGCATACACCCGAGAACGTTTATCTGTCCCGCATCCGTTCGTGTGTCCGCTGGCCACCCCCGTGTGGTCAGGCATTGCTTCATGATTGGTGCCCTGGGTTGGGTGGTGTCACGTGGAGGCGTTTAGTGGTGGGTTTTCGGGTGGAGGCGTTGATGTTATCTGTTCACCTGCACTGTTGCAGTCAGTTCTGTGTTGTCAGGGCAATGACAGTAGATTGTTTGGGTAATGTAGTCCAACGAGGCTGCACGTTTGCAACAAGAATATGAGTGCATGGCTACCAAGTTCGTGAAGGATGGCATCAACATGGAGCATATTGCAAGCACTGCAGAGTTCTATGGGGCCAGCGACACAGAACAAGGCAAACTGCGTCCGCTGCCATACAGCAGACTACCCAGACCTCTTCCCGATGCAGCAGTTCGACTATTGGTGATTCCCCTCTTGGATCAACAGCTTGTGGTCAAGGCAGATCAGCTATGCAAAGATGTGGTTTCCAAACTGCCAGAAGACGTTCAGGCAGGCGACGAGGATTGGAAGATAGTTTTACCAACAAAACGTCGGGGCAGGAGTTGCTTCCCTGTTCCTCTGTACACATGAGTTTGCCTCAGCTGGTATTTGTAGAGTTGCTGCTTCATGCTGCATTGGGGCCAGAATCGTAAATATTGCCAACTGAGCCAAACAGCACAGGTGCAGCCATCAATCAGGCAGTCAATCAAGGCCAATAATGGGAAAACTGTGAATTTCAAAATGCCCCATGTCTGCAATATTGCAACTGGTGACCAGGTGTGCACACAAGGCCCAGATCACTTGGTTGCTCCAGGTAGATGTCTGCAACAATGACTCACTTGAACATGTGTGATGCAATGTTGTGTTTGTTGCAGGTATATTTCAACAAGGGGGAGAAGCTGCATATTACACAGTTTCATGCCTCTCGTCCGGAGGATGTTCGCCCCAATGCGTTTGACCCAAGTGGTGGCTGCGATTTGGCTGTTGCGAACCATGAGCGTCCGGGCCCCGCTCAGGCGTATCTGCCCTTGGAGCTAGAGGCAATGGAACATATTGTCAATACAACGCCCAGGCCCACTCTTGTTCCTGAAAGGGTTCTAATGTCCGACACAGGCACTTTGCTTCTTACCTGGGTGGATCGCAGTGGCAACATTGACAGGCTGAGGTCAGCATTGCGTTCTTGCTTCCCTGGATCGCCACCCAAACAAACGGGCATAATTCACACCACCCTGTGCAGAGTAGTGGCAGGTGGACCATTCAATGCTGCCACAAGGAAAGCTGTCGCGGAGGAGTGTGACAAATGGACAGGCCTGTTGAAGGGGCATGTGTTTCAGCCGTCAGTGGCGTGGTACGTTCTGGAAGAGCTATACTCCAACTGTGTGGGACCAACAACACCTCTAGAATTTATGCAGTGATGAAGAGAACTTGCAAGAGTACATGACAGTCCTGTCTATCGTCGCAACTTGATCTGTGTTCACACATCTTACAAACCCTGATGTGCTGCAATTGCTAGCTTGGTGTGAGAATGTGGAGGAGGCGAGCATGCACATCCTGCGCAGACATCGGGACTGTGCTACTCTGTTGCATGCAGCGTACACCATATGAGATGTTGTCTCAGCAATTCCTACTTTCTTCTGGTGCCTGCCCCTTAAGCCATTCAAACCTGCACCATATATCAGCAACTCGATGGTGCGATTGGTTTCCAAGCAGTTGTCTACGCAGCTTGGGTGCCCACTTCGGCATCCTCTGTCCCATGTCAGCAAAACTGTGCTCAAAGCACAACAAAACCCAGCCCCTAGCAGGTTTGTTTGAAGAGACTCACCTCCTGTCTAAGGACAGGTGTTGTTGCCAAATTGGCAGAAGTTTTGGAACACTTTTGGGCATCGGCAACGTATCACCTGCTCGTAATGATGGCAATTTAAGCTCATAAACATGTCCAGCAACAGTAGCATGAAACGAACATCCAAGGATCCTCGCGTGCTCACGGCATCGTCAAAAATAGGTCTGAAGTTTCATAATCGAGGGCCCATTTCAAACACAGTTGCACAGCAGGAAAGTGGGGTCAGCCATGCTGCTGTTGGAATGCAAGTATGCATGCAAGAGTCACTGATTCGATATCAACACTGCTGTCATCAGCTGATATGGTACTGAGGACCTTCTGGCAGCAGTGAAATGCCAGGCATGCCAAAAGCCATGAATGCAAAGGCTATGGAGGCAGTCTAGCGTTTAGATGAAGCTGCATGACCACATCAACGCCATGGTGCAACAACGTAGATGCACATCTTCCGCCAAGACCAAGTCAGCCGGACTGACTAGTCTGCATCCGCGAAGGAATACAATAAGGGAATCACAAATGCCAAGATCTCTCGACACCGTGTTTCAACCGTCCAGCAGGCACGTGCTCGGTGGTATTACTAGAGTTGCCACCATCCGCCCACTCTGCAACCACCAAAAGGGCGCCAAGCCTGTCGGCACCAGAGCTGTTGCATGTCCGAATGTACGAACATTCGCGCGAAACGAATTCGCGCCTGTCGGCCTATAGGCCCGGGGGACTGCAGAAAATCACAACTACGTCGTCTTCTCCCAACCATTGACTATTAGCCATGTGAACTATACTTGCGGTCTCAAGAAGGCCTGTTCGACTGCAATCTTGCCAAAGCGATGCAGCAAGTCGCAGACAATCTAATCGCCCAACACTCTTCCAGCATCACCTCTGAAATTCGTCCGTTCCCCCAGTCCTATTCGAGGAGTTGGGCTCCCATTTTGCATTGCAGGCGCCACGTTCTCGAAGGCACCCTCGTCCCTGCAGAGGTCGTGCGTTTCACATTGATGGCCAGTCGCACCTTTTGGGTCCCTAAACCCTTCTGGCACACCAGGATGTCGCTCAAAGGCCAAGAACTGACTGTGGAGGTCGGCAATGTCCCGAAAGAGTCGGCGGACAGCCTCCACAACGCCATCGTGTCCCTCGGGCCCATTCACAACGAACTCCGACCACATCGGCCCAGGCTGCCATGAAGCGCACTTCGACCCATCGTGCTGGCGTATCCTCTCACCTTCATTTTCTGCTGCAGGTGTAAAGCCTGGTCCTTGGTGGTCATCTATGGCACAGTCAAAATCGGGAATGAGAAGATAATTTTCTTTGACAATGATGCCATGCTGTGCTTGTGCAGTGGGTGTGCCTTCAGCACCTTCAACAGTTGAAGCTTGGGACTCCCCAGCTGCTGAACCAATCAAAGGACGGCTGGTAAGGCTTTGGCACACATGCGCCGCTTCAACGAAACATGCTTCTGCATACGCATGTGCTTCTTCATGCTTGATTTTCATCTTGGTCCTACTTCGATCGACATCTTCCACAATTGAATCCATCCCAATTTGCGATATGCGATCCTGCACAGTAAGCAAGAGCTCACTCTTAGGCTAAGGACCCTGCCCGCACTCTCAAAACACCCAACAAACGTTTTCCAGGCAAAACTGTAACAATCAGTACATTGTAAAACTTTGCCTGGAAGGAAACATTCAGCAACAGCACCAATGCCCCGTTAGACAGATCTGAACTGCCACGAACAATACAGTCACATCCGCATATATTCTCTTGCAATCAGTGGTCCACCCGCATGGCCTGTTGCCCATGTGGCCTGCACCTGGGCTGTTGCTTACCTCCTTGCCTTCCATGGCAGCAATTTCGCTCGCACAAAAGCGCATCTGCTCCAACAGGAGCTCAAGCTGGTAATGCAGAAGACGGCAATATCTCTCGCCACTCTGCAACAGCATCACCTCAGATGCAGTTTCAAGGTCAATGGCACGATTGTTGCCTGCCAGTGCAGGTGTGTTCTGCTTGTCAGAGACGCCTATCACGCAACCATCCGTTGGCTTGCAATTGCGGTATCTTAGTGCCTTCTGCAGAGTGGTACACGCAGATACGTGAACTGCACGTGCTGGAAGGAGCTGACAAGATTGCCATCAGGACATGATCACAAACAAGAAGCATGGAGGAGTGCACAAGCAGGTTGGGTGCCAACAGTTGCAACAACACTCACCGTCTTCCAGATGTGCAGCCAAAGCATCTTTCAGGTCTTCCACCAGACCTTGTGTCGCCTCAATCGCCCTTGCCTCAACATCGTGTTTCTCCCAGTCATCCTTCAATACCTCTATCTTGTGTTGCAGACCATCGAGATTCAGCATCTCCCCCTCCTCAAACACCTGCCGATCTTCCACAAGCTCGGAGTGCTTTGCCCGAGCTGCCCCCAATTGCTCCTCCACCTCCACAATCCAAGCCCACAGCAGCAAGTCAGACATAAAACACACTCTCACACCCCCAGAAAGGAATTAAAAACGACATCTTTGTTTATAGACGACATAGGACAAGAAACATTTACAAACAACTGGTGCACGACATTGCAAAGATAGGCAAGGAAAGTTTCTAGCTGATAGACAACGTGGAACTTGATGAGCTCACACGTTGTTATAACATACTAACTGCGGCGTTTCTGGCTGGTGGACGATGTGCTACTTGATACAGTCCTATTCTGCTTAGACGAACAATTGGCGACACCTTCTTCAAACTTCTGCAGACAGCCCCAGAGATCATGCCTGTGGTTCTCATGCATGCTTCTGGCTTTCGGTTAATTCTTGCCGTCAGTGGCCCTGTAGGGCTGCCAAACAGAAAGGGCCTAGTTTACTCTTGCTAGGACGGGGGAGCTCCTTTGTACGTTGTGGCTTCTTG